GAGGGAAGGGGGGTGGAGGGGTCCCCTGGTTGTGCTGGCACCTGTGGGGCGGCAGCTGTGGGGTGGCTCTGGGTGGTGTCCAGCCCTGGGCTGTGCTGGCACCACTGCTGCCCGTGGGCTGCAGGACTCACTTCCAGCTGCACTCTGGGGCTGGCTGGGCACCGGGGGGACGCGGCCACCGCCCCACAGCTCGCTCCAAGGACACACATCCGTCCCTTCCCCGTGCGTGTCACGGGGCGCGGTGTCGCCGGCGGTGCCCACAGGGAGGAAGAGGGCGGCCACGAGCCCTTCCTCCCCGGCAGCCTCTCCCGGGACCACCTGGGGCTGCCTGGCGCCACAAGTCGCTGTCCTTGTCCCCTCCTGCGTGCCTCTGGGCTGTGGGTTGGACAGGTCGGCTGGTGGCCCCGAGGTGGCCGAGGGAAGGAGTAACGTGCCCGTTGCCATTGTGGCCAGCCAGGGCCTTCGTCATTTCTGTCACCTCTGAGTCACAGCGGTGACGATGAGCCGGAGGATGGTCACGCATGGACTCGGCACCGAGAGTTTCGGGGGGGCTCCAGGGCAGCAGCAAAGCTGTGTCCCCACGTCCCCATCCTGCCAAGCATGAAGGGGTCCCCATGCTGGTCCCCCCCGTCCCCCTGCTCGGCTGGCGGTGCCTCCTGGGGGCTCTGCGCTCTCCTCACACACTTCCTGCCGTCTGTTTCCAATTCCTCCTGGCGTCTGCTCCTCCCTGCTTTATTCCAATTAGGGAAAAAAAAAATTCCAAATCCCAGGCATCGTCTCAGCGTGCAGCTTGCAGAGGCTGGAGCTGCTGAGCCTCGCTCGGGAGGGCTGGGGCTGCACCAGGAGGGGACAGAGGGTGCCCCTGCTGCCCTGCGGCGCTTTTGGTGCACCAGGGATCATCCCGAGGGATTGCTGTGCCCAGGTCTTTCTCCCGAGGTTCTCTCTGCTCCAGGGTTGGGTGTGGGGAGCTCAGGGAGATCTAAGGATGTGTCCCGTGTGGAATGATGCCCTGCGTGGAGCTGATCCCGGGGAGAGCCAAACTGGGCACAGGGTCACGTTTTACAGCTCGCTGGGATGAAATCTGGTGCCCGGCCACATCCTCAAAGCCTGACCGTGTCCCTCCCTCCTCTCCCCTAGGAGTGACCCATCAGTGACGCCGGTGGGATCCCGGCTGTGGAGCCCCAGCTGTGAGCAGCAGACACGGGACCCAGCGTGGCACAGCCTCCCCTGGTCGCCACCATGCCGATCCTCAAGCAGCTCGTGTCCAACTCCGCGCACTCCAAGCGCCGCTCGCGGGCTGACCTGACGGCCGAGATGATCAGCGCGCCCCTGGGGGACTTCCGCCACACCATGCACGTGGGGCGCGCCGGGGACGCTTTTGGGGACACCTCCTTCCTCACCAGCAAGGCCGGGGAGCCGGTGCCTGAGGTGGGAGAGGAGCCGGGAGCCTCCAAGCCCAGCCTGCTGTCCCGCCGCTTCCGCAGCAGCAAGCGCTCGCAGTCGGTGACGCGTGGGGACCGCAGGGACATGCTGGGCTCGCTGCGGGACTCGGCGCTCTTCGTCAAGAACGCCGTGTCCCTGCCCCAGCTCAACGAGAAGGACGTGGACAGGAGCGCGGGGCAGCTGCCCAAGAGCCTCTCCTCCAGCCCCGTGAAGAAGCTGCCCGAGGAGACGAGCCCCGAAGAGCAGCAGCGCCCGAACGGGGCG